TGAGGGGGGAACAGCTGCTTGAAACCGCAGCTGATTGCAGGAGGAGAGTTCCACCACCAGCTAGTGATGCCGCCACAGAAGTTTCCTCTGAAGCACAAACTCTTGCATATCCTTCAGTTCATCCCAATAGCTCCACTATGAACCGAAAATGAAATGAAACAAAACCAAAAAAAAGCATTTGTCCCCCTACAGACACCCAGTCCTGGTGATTTTAGATGTATTTTTGTTTCCTTGTTTTATCTGCATGAACAATTTGAATGGGTTTATAATTTGCCTGTGCTTCCATTTTATTATATCTGCCTTCCATCTGTTATTTTTATGGTTTATGTTACCATTCTCCTCTCACTCATGCCAGCGGCTCTACTGTAAAACTGATGTTGCATCTCTCCAACTTATCACCTCTCTCCAAAAATATATCTTGTGCATGACGGAATAAGAACTGCCTCGAGAGGAATAGATGGGTCCTGTATTAATAACTTGCTTGTAGGAGGAGCCTACACATTGGTTGTATGTGTACAAATACTTCCCTCTCCCCACGGAGAAGCTTTACAAAGCAGAAATTTCACTAAATCCAAAGGAAATTCAGGCTGTATGGATGTGGCAGTCATTTCTATGTGAAATAATAATATCCTGCACTCCTGTAGTTAGAAAATGCACTTATATGATGCCTAACATAAAGTGGGGGGCAGATCCTAGGTATCGTTGAAAACAAATAATAGCAATTTATTAATTAATGGACGAAATCCACCTCCGTGTGGAAGGCCATCTGTTGCTTATGACTGTACATGATGCACATGACTTCTGCTGCTGCTACTAATGAACTGAAACAAAAAACAAACTTAGGAGGTAAAGAGTGGTTTCCTCATTTTAGTGAGGATGAATTAAAGTGAGGAAATATTTGGGTATTGTACTGAAAGTCACAGCACAAGTTTGTGGATGACCCAAGGAACAAACTAGACCCCCAGGTTCCCAGTCTCATGCCTTAATTACTAGCGTGCCCCTTGCCTCTAGGATATAAAGAAGGTAGACAGTAGATCCTGTTATAATTATTTGAGAGGCAAAAGTTATTTTGGTGATACAGTTGGGAGAGATGTTGAACAAATGCCCTTCCTTAGCAATCTGTCCTCAAAAGCTTGTCTAATACCTCTCCCAACTATACAGATGGTCCAATAGCAGACATCGCCCAAACAGTCCTTGCTTCATATACATTTCCTGAATCATCATGGCTACAACCATGGCTTGTACCATGGCATTTCCTGAATCATCATGGCTACAACCAGCCCTACTACATAATTACTTATATAGTTATCTAATTTATTAAGACTGAGATTTCGGTTGAAAATGGATTGGGAATTTTTCAGTAGACTTTTTTTTATCAGAATATTGATTGGCTGAATCTGAACCTAGATCTCCAGCTGGAGTCTCAGGAGGCAGGGTCCTCCTCCAGGCTTGCTGCTCCGCTGCAGTCCAGACATGCCGGGAGTGACACTACAGGCCATAGCCAATGCCTCCACCAGACCCAAAGGGTGTCCCAAGTGAGAGGTCCCCCGTCTCCTCCTCAGCCCTACCCGTGCCCCAAGCCCATCCTCTCCACCTCCATCCTTCCCTCCTCTCCCAGCCCTCACACATCTGCCGTGCAGGAACCAACTTCCCAGCAGGGCCAAGACAATCTCCCCACCTTGCTAGCGTGCCCTGCTAGATGGAACTGACTCTGGCCATGAGGGCACAGGGGAGGTGTTGGCATCACTGGGGCCATGAGCTGTTCACCGACTGAGGCCACTGCCTGAGGGCCTGGGGGTTGTGGATCACCACATCTTCCCTGGCCGGGGTAGAAGCTGGGCACCACAGGCTGGGCTGACTCTGATGCTTGTCCCCGAGAGATGCAGGGAATGATGACAGGATCTTCACTGTCGTTCTCTCCCTCTGTCCAGTCTGGGCTGGCAACAGTGGGGCAGAGGGCAGCAGCAGGGGCCGGTAGGATGGGCATGGTCCTGCCAGCCGGTACTCACAGGCCTGAGCCGGGCAGCAGACTCTAGCCCTGGGCCAAGCTGCCTGGACACGGTGGTGCTACTCTGCAGCCATGGCCTTCTAGCTGTACCCAGGGTGCAGGCAGCTCTGCTGGAGCACCTGTACCACAGCCCAGGCATCCATGCAGTCCCTGTCCAGATCTGGCAGGTCCACAGCCATGGGACTGCAGGTCCAAGGGGCCTGGTGCTGTATCAGGTGGCAGCAGGTCACAGCTAAGTATCAGTCCTTGCTACCAGACTGTTGCAATGGGTAGAGGGTGCAGGGGCCACTTTAGGTCAGAGCTGCTGCAGCAGTCCAGGTGGCACAAGGGGCTAGCATCTCCAGACACCAACTGCCTGGGCCTGAGAAGCTCCTGAGGGCAAGTAGACCTGAGCTGGTCACCAGGGCAGCTTTTTACACTGCTGGGGCCAACACCGGTGTGGACCATCTGCAGGGAAACTGGAAAGGATCAGATTTCCCAAAGCAGCACAATTCACCCCACACCAAGGCGTGTGTTCAGGCATGTGTGCTGAGGCACAAATCTCCAGCAGAAATTTGTTCCGCTGTTATTTTTGCCACTGCAAGTGTACGTGCCTGCATGTGTGGACATGCCCTAAGGCCACATCCACACAAGCACAGACATTTGTTTCCCTGGTGACATGAAACAGTGACACACCTTGGCCACATCCAGACAAGCGTGGCCATGCAATATGTGGCGCAACAGACATGTTTGTAGCGTCACATATTGCACGTTCCGTTGTTCTGCGCCCCGCAAGGGAGCGGTGCAGAGGGTTTTTTTGACCCCTGGATGGATATATATACACACACGCACTTTATATACAACCTCTTCAATATATTGGGCTATATAAACGAAGGGGTAGATATATGATATAGAGCAGCTTTATAAAGGGTCCTCTCCTTCTGCCTAAAAATGCAGATGTATTTGAGTTTCAGCCAGGCAGATTCCTGAAGCATCAGACCAGATTAGAGGAGGCGGCACTTATTAGAGGGCAGCGTACTTTCTTTCCTCCTCTTTTTATAATATTCCAGGCACTAATGTAATTGAGTCTGGCCTATTACCAAGAGGTTTTTATTAAATCAGCAAGGGATGAAATTAACGACCACTAAGAAGATCTAATTCCAAAGATACGAGGTTGTTCATTACACATTTATGGCTACTAACCAGCAGCACTCAAATAAATGTGTGCGGAGTTGTTTACCTTGCCAAATTGCCAAGATGCATCCTGTCACGAGAAGTCAACAATGGAAGGAGAAATCAATATGGAGCTACTAAAAGGCCTACTGAGTAGCTGCAAGGAAATAAATTAATGATGAACCTATGGGTCCAATAAATATGTGCATAACTTAAAATTATTAAATGCAGAAGCTGCTGAAACATCCCCATTTAATTACCATCCTGTGGAGGGCCACTGCAAATTTTGCTGTACAAGGAGATATTGTTGAGTAGTAAAGTGTTGGCAGTGCAAGTGTTGTTTGAAACGCTCCTTTGGTCAGATCTCTGACCTACATGCAGTTACCCCAAGGTGAATTTTGCCCAGATTGGGGGTTTGTTTGGTGTTTTGGTACTTTCTGAGGAAACACTGGGGAATGAGCACCTAAGCATTTAGCATGGAATTGAATAAATATATCGGATAAAATTTTCGTAAGTGCACGAAGGCTGGATTTTGAGATTTCAGTGAACATTGAGTGCTTAAATCCTTTAGAAAGTTTGCCCACAAATTCCATTTATTCTATACGAGTTCAAGTAAGGTTTTAAAACTGAGGACCAATTCTGAGTCACTTATGTGCCTTTGCAAATTGTATCCATTCCATTCTGTCTTATTCTAGGTGGTTACTACCATGCTGAATGGGATATAAAAACTTTTCTCCTACAAGCAAAGACTGCTTGAGGGAAAAAAAAGCATTTGCCAGTATTGGTCCCTGAATTTGTTCCATATGCGACCTCCAGTCTCAAGGCAAACCAGAATTATCAAGGCTCCAAAAAAGAGATCTTCCTCATGACAAGGATGCCAGGCCCTGTTGCAAAGTCTGTGCATTCGGGTTCTGCAAGAACCTAAATAACATTTCAAAATTCACATTTGTGCTTGTTTTCTATGAGCTTTTTAGTGGCCAAAGGGTCACTGTTGGTGAACTTTCACTGGCTTCAATGAAGTGGAGCTGATTTTCACTACTGACCCGCAGTACTACCCCTGCAGGGAAGGCATCTAGCTATATACTAAATATCTACTGAATGGAAAAAACCCATGCCGCTGCAGCACATACACAAACAGAGATGAAACATATGCATTTAACAATGCATGTAATAATTGTTCTCCTCTATCAGCCTGCTGCTTGAAAATAATTCTAAAAAATGAATTAACAAGAAAAGTGGGGCCAGAAGGAGATGATTGCTGCAGTGTGTCTCACCAAGTGTTAATCCCCTAACCACTGTTAATGATGATAAACCTTGGTGATAATTGCAGTGATATTTAGAAAGGAAAATAATATATGAACACTTAAAAAATTAATGTCTGGGTATGTCTACATATGTATGAGTGTGCATGTGTGCGATGATGCTGAAATCATTCTGCCTCATGCACACGATCGCTCAAATTCAGGTTTGTAGATGAAGTGGTGTCTTACAGGGATTTGATTGCATAGAAACATAAGGCTGGAACAGACCCCAGGAAGTCAGCTAAGCCACCCCTCTGCCCTAGAGCAGGGTGAAGTATACCGAGACCATCCCCAGAAAAATTTATCTTGGCTGTTATTGAAAACCTCTGAAGACAGGATCTTCCCAGCCAGCTGCAGGTAAGCTGTTCCAGTGCTTAGCTATCCTCATAGTTGGAAAGTCTGCCCTTAACTCTAACTTAAGTCTCCCTTGCAGCAAAATAGCTTGATTACTTTTTGTTCAGTGCCTTGTAGACATAGCTGGACACTGCCAGCAGCTCATCACCCAAATCAGATTAACAAATCCTTTCCCTTCTTCCTAGTCTCCCAGAAAATCAAGGAAGTATGAACATCTGGTCCTGGAAGAACCATATGAGGATTGGATACCATAGTAAGTAGTCTCTCCTCCCTAGCGGCAACATACTCACCTAAAGTGTAATGTACTTAATCCTCTTAGCATAACAATTTGCCTGTAAATCCCACAACACCAAATTTTCATCACTGCCTTTATGTAAGGCCAAATCCTGAAGGGTTTGGAGCATGTGAAGCTTCTGTTGACCTCCTAGTTCAGCACAAAGCCTGCCAAGATGGGCCCAAAATGGAAATAACAGATGTCAACTCATTGAGGTGTTGGCCATAGTTAGATGACCAATTCCTTAAGCAAAGTGTGTCTCTTTAGTACATGTATGCACAGTGTGTGTCCTCAGTCTCAGATGGGAGTTACTAGGCACCACTATGACAACAGTAGAAAGATGGGGTGCCTTTCTTCAGCCCAGGAAAAAAAAAAATTTCAACAGCAAAACCAGCATATAAACGTACTGAATGAAAAGCCATTTCGGGTTCCCACAGACAAGGCGACGGGGCACAGAAGCTGCTTCCATGTAGCTTCAGCTGTATTAACAGCTGAACTAAAATCTGGCCACTGATGAGACAAAATTTGAAAGCCTTGTGTGCCTGGCAGTCCAATGCAAAGCTGAAAGAAGGAAAAACCTGGCTAACTGGCTCCATGAGTGAACTCACTTGGAATGGGTCCCATCTGGAGATGTCAAGATGACAGTTCCCAACCAATTGATGATCTGGGGCCAAAATGTTAATGCACTAACACACTAAGCCATCATGCTTCCTCTGACTAATTTGCACTTTAACTGGCTTACTGTTAAAGGGATCCCTGTATTAGTTAATCCAAAGGCCATCTGCTGAAGATAATACATTTATTACTAGGAATCTACCTAATTCTATTTTACTAAGCAGGCACACGGCAAATCTTAATCATTTTAACTCAGACACTCTATTATACATACCATGAAATTTAACAAGGTATGTCCTATATAGGGCTGTAACATTGCAGCTGTGTGGACTAATTAGATAACACTCATTATTGTTCATTCAATTTGCATTCGCAGATGCAGAGAGCTGAGCGCTGACTGCTCTTGATTCTTTGATTGATTGCTTCTACTTTACATTCATTAGGAAGGTGGCCTCAGCACAGTAGTTTTACAACATGTGTTTGCTACAACTTAACTGGATGTGCCAGTCAAAAGCCTTGAACTGAGTCTCTTGATTAACAACATTTTGCAAATATAGCATGGTCTGTTTTAGCAGCTTGACAGGCCTATTGTGGAGCCAGCATTCTTGGTAAGCTCAGCTCCCTGCAAAACTGCCCTCCCCTTCCTCCTTCCTTTCCTCACCCGCATGCTGAGTGGAAAGAAATACAGTTGTGACAGTAAAAGCTGATGACAGCTAGCCAATATATCAAGTTCATAGGTGGCTCTGTCCATCGCTCATCTCTTCCACTCAGACGTGAATTACAGAAATAAATGGGCTTGTCAGAGAGTTTGACTTTGTCGGACAAATACCAAAGCCGTAAAACTAGGACAAATACGGTTCACGTTGACCTTTGTGTTTTTCCTAATGCCTCTTTGCAACTATAGACTGCCCTGCTACTTTATTTTTTTATTTTGGTTTTCCTTGGCTCATGGAGGGCAGCTTCTATCGAGTGGATCAATTATTTAGTGACTCGTGTTGTTTTTGCTGCCTGTGTGAAAGGTATGGGAAGCGCATTTGTTTAGCAAAACTGAGGATCGATACATCTTTGGGTGGGTTTTTTCCTCTCTCTTTTTTTAAGGGGGATTGTTATTCCTCCACCTCCTGTGGATGATGGGAACGCAGGAAGCAGAGTGAAGCCACACGATGCTGCATGCTACAGAAACAAGAAAGCAATGAGGCCCATCTGGTGGTCATGAACTCCGCAGACCTGGGAGCATGCTCTCAGGCGGCATGTCCTCGGACGGAAAAGAAACGCTTTGTCCGTCACCAGAGCTCCTAGTCACCAGGCTGAAGTCCACAACTGGAAATTGCCATGCTCTACTGTGCAGTATTGGTATGATGGGCAGCTAGTCCTGTCCGGGTGGGGAGGGGTTAAGGAGGTGAAAGGGTGGGAGTCTAGTGATGGGAACAGTAGACCAGAGTCCCAGTCTATTCCTGTTTTCTGCCCTTCTGTGAATCACGTCACCGATGCTGCCCCTTGCCATATATTTGTGGGGGGGGTCTTGTTTATTTAAACCAGGGCCTTCTGAGTGGCTGGGGGGCTGCAGAGCCCCTGGCTACACCGTGTAGGCCATACTCCCCACATACTGTACCCCCCACAGCATCCCTGGAAGTTTTGCCACATGGATCCCCCCCTGTAGCCCCACACCAGTGCACAGGGTCCCTGGGTCCCCCTGAGGCACCCAGCCGCTGGCTCCCTCAGCCCCACCCACAAGGACTGGGTAAGGCCAGACCTCAGGATGACCAGGGCCCTTATCAGGATGCCAAGCCAACATGGCCCTGACTTCGGGGCCATCTGCCTGGACATGCACCCAAGAGTGAGGCTACTCCCTGGGGATCCTCGCCGAGACCTGGAGAAGGGAGGGGGAGCCTGGAGACTGGCCATTCAGTGGGGGGAGTGGGACCCAGACTAGGAGCCAGGGGGGCCACATATTAACCCCTCAGGGGTCACATGCAGCCAGCAGGCTACCAACTGGAAAGTCTTAATTTTAAATTAAGCTCTTCAAGGCAAGGGCTGTCTCTTACCCTACTACCCACCCCAACAGGTCCCTGTCTCAGTCGGTTCTTCTTCATGCAGCTGAAGTGTCAATCCTGAATAGCAGCAGTACTTTACAACAGTTTGGTCCTGCGGCACAATGCTTGTTATGGACTTTATACTTTGATTCCATTGAGATACTTTGATTCCTCTCTACTATAAAAAGGTTTTGTGCATATCACAGAGGTAGGATAAAAGGAGGTATTCTTACTCCAGTTTTGCAGAAGGTGAGCTGCAGCACAAAGAAGAGACTATTGCCAAATGGCTGGGCTAAGGCCACTCCAAAAGTGTGCTGGAGAAATGAAAGTTGGATCCTGACATTCTCCATCTGTTCCTGAAGTTCCCCAATGACAAGCTGGGCATGTAAGAGTCAAGTCTTTCCTTTGCAGCTTGACAAGCTATTGGGCCAAATACGCCAGTCTGCCTCCCTGGTTGGCCCTGGCACTGCACTTTTAAAGGACTGCCCTATTAGCCAACCTCTGCTGCATATCCACTGAGCTGCTAGTCTCTAAGTATCTTCTGTTGGCAGCTCCTTGTCTTGGTTCCCAGTCTTGGACTCCTGACCCTGCCCCATCTTCTGACTTCTTGGGTCTCTTTCCTGACCAAGCATTGTCTCCTAGTTTCCAGTTTGGGGCTGTTGACCATGGGCTACTGCTTTGGCTAAAGACCTTTGGGCTAATGACCAATGACAGGTGGACTTTACACTGAGATCTTGGCCCACGGTTTCAAAAATGAGCTTTTGTCAAAGCGTGGCTTTTTTTCAAAGGTGGTCAGCCCAAGTGAGCTCTGTTACCGTTGTTGCAGGCAGATGGACTGTGTTTCACTGTACCAAGCTGTTGCCTTTTTTAAGTTTTTGTCCATGCAACACTGACTGGATAGGTCTTTGCGTAACATGTTTATGGCACAGTCATTGTTTTATTTCTGCACAGGAAATATGCTCCATTATTTCTGCAGCTGACAGGAGCCCTGGCAGAAGTTAGAAGCTGAGGTTCCAAAAGGAGAGGGAATATGTTTGTGGGATGAACTACAGCTGTTGGCAGTATTCATCTGCCCTCACAATTATTTTAATAGGAACAATTCCTGGAGGGTTATGTGGCTTCTGCACCGTTTGGTGCTGCGTTCACTGTAGAAGAAATGAAACTGAAGCAATTCCCAAAGATACTGCAACCTTTGTATACACTGGAAAATATTGTGGAGTGGCTGAGACACTGGCCATAACGACACATTCAGGAACTAATTTAATATTATTTTATTGTATTCATTATTTATTTGCACTGTAGGCTGGCTCAAAGGCCCCGATCCCTATTGAGACCATGCATTAGGCATTTGGAGAATGCAAAAAGCATACTGCCTCCCTATTAACTTTGCTTTATAAAGTTCTTTCGCATACACATGCACACACGCATGCACACATTACTGAATAGAAAGAAAATGATCTGCCTCTGTGGGTTTTTCTCCCCTGCTCCTGACTCTGAAGACAGGGCCTGAACCTGCTCTTTGTGTACAGAGACTTTTGCCTCTTGGAATTCAACTATCGCACTATTTTGGGACGCAGCCTTGGGCTCGGGTCTGCCTTTCTGGAGTGATACAAAGGGACTGAAATACAGCAGTGTAGCAAGCCTTAATAAACCAAAGGATGTATTAAAAATTCAGCATCCCCCTGCAAAATTGTTGTTGTTCTGCCTCAGAAAATAATCTCTGCCGATGTACTTCCTCAGACAGTGATATTCACCTCACAGAAAAGCCTAGCGCTGCCAAAGAAGGCGGCTCCCCAGGGGCCAGCAATTCTGTGCATGTTATCCAAGGACTGCAAAGTACTTTGCAGCTGTTAATTAAGCCTAATAGCATTCCTACAAGACAGGACTTTGCTGTTGACTTAGAAAGCAATACCACACCGCTCAAACGGCTTCATCTAGTGCCCCGTGAAATAGGTGGAAGACTTCAGCTGGCTGTACATCAGGCATTAGGTTTCTCGAGCATGGAAGGGAGAAGTCTCAAGGGCACATATGCCACAAACCGCTGCCTTTCTTTCAGTGCCATTCACTGTCGTCCTCCTCAGCTGACAAGGGCACGACTGTGAAAAGGGCAGACAGGAAAGGTTTTTGTCTTCTAGGTCATCCTGCAATTTTGCACCACCCAGCTCAGAAGTGCAGCAGATCCAATATATGTGCTCAGTCTGGAAGACTTTCCTGTTGCCCGGCCAAGTCCGGGAGCACACCAGTATTCCTAGATTGCACTGTTTCGATTAGCACTGGCAAGTGTTAGCGTCATTCACTGGGAGCATCTTGTATAGCCTTTGTGGTTTGCTT